ATTTACAAATTATCTGAAAAAAAAAAAAAAAAAAAAAGAGCATTTATTACATCCACGTGAGTGCATATAAAAAGGTGAAATGTACATACATTGCTGTGAATAGGTAAACAAGAACATAAAGAAACACACACATGCTTGGCTTGAATGAAATAATGTGACAGCTGGGTTTGATATACTCCCAAAGCAACAATGCTGGAATATTATGTGGGAAAATTTCCCCCTCAGGGTGAAGTACCAAGCAGAACAACAATCCCATAAGTTTTTGAAAAACTGTGTGTCCAGCTGTGCATAAAGAGTGCTGTGTTATAGTCAAGAGAGAACCACTTCTGTAAAAATGCCATAGTTGTGATAACACACAACAGCAGTGATATTTACTACATCCTGTGTACTTTACATTATTTTGATGTCAAACACTTTTTTTTTTTTTTTTAGAAGGTAATGATTTTATTTGGCTAAAAAGACTCCTTTAATCAATCAAAAGTTTGGGGTCAGTAAGATTGAAAAAAAAAAAAAATGTTTCTGCAATTCTTTTGCAAAGCTGCATTTAATTGATAAAAAAAGTGATATTGTGGAATATTATCACAATTTAAAATAACTGTTTTCTATTTTAATATATTTTAAAATGTAATTTATTCCTGTGACGCAAAGCTGACTTTTAGCAACCATTATTCCAGTCTTCAGAGTCACACGATCCTTCAGAAATCATTCTAATATGCTGATTTTAAGCCTAAGAAGCATTTCCTATTATAAATGTTGAAAAGAGTTCAGTTGTTCTGCTTAATATTTTATTTAAACCATGAACCATATTTTTCAGATTTTTTTGATGAAGAACAGCATTTATTTGAAATAGAAATATTTTGTAACATCGTGAATATATTTACTGTCACTTTTGATTAATTTCTTTGAAAGAAAGTTTCACTGACCCTAAACTTTTGATTGGTAGTGTATACTGTCAAAAATAATACAAGAAATACAGTACAGAAAATTCAACATCTATAACCTCAAGTATTGGAAGATATTTCACAGAATGTGTGTATACAGCACAACAAGGCCATAATGACACAGACATGACAGCTTCTGGATCCTGATGGCTCAGTGGGAATGCTGAGCTGCGATTCTGTGATATTTTAAGGTCTGTGGTGTCACTACATATTCTGTGTTGCCACTGGTATTTCTCTGAATGTTTCAAAACATGTTGGAAAAAGGAGTGTTTGGACTATAAATACTGACAGGATTTTTTCATTTTCTGAAGATATGCCATTGCCATGTAGTTGCTATGCATATTCTGCTGTCTAGATATGGCTCTGCCCCTAGAGTCAATATAACTAATATAATAGTCAATATAATAAGGTATATTTTGCCTGTTTAATTGTTCAGCACATCTCTCCTCAGGAAGCCACATAATTTGAGGTATCGTTCTTGTCCGTAAGTTGAATGCTTAGGGCTAACGTTGTAGCAATAGTAGTAATGATTCTTGCTTTGGCAGATACTGCAGCACTGCTAAGCACATATACTTTTAAGGTATTGTAGTTCACGAAAAGTTGGTTTGTCAAAGCCCATAAGCATGACTGCCACTGATGATTGAACTATGACTGAATAATGGCTCATATCTTTTTCTCCTTCCTGACATGCCTCATTCAAGTAATTGTGAAGGGTTTTTTTTGCACTTAGTGGCTCATTCCATTCCAGCGCTGTGTTTAGTCATTCTGATTTCAGGTTGCTTATACTCCAGTATCCGAGACATGCTGCGTCATTTTAAAGCAGGTCTGTTTTGATCTTCACAACACCAAAGTAAGTCTTACCATAAGATAAATTGAGGGGGGAAAAACACTTAAAAGAATGAAAAACATGATTTGCCACCTAATTTTCAATCAGCATTATTTTCAACATGTAAAAACAAACAAAAATTGTCATACAGTAAAAAGAATGTCAAGCACAGCACATAGTTTCCTCCTCACAATAAATATACATCTTAAATACTTCTGCAGTACCTGAGCGAGGACAAACAAACACCTTTTCTGAGGAGGCGCAGCACCAAGGTGTCCAGTCAGCCCTCTTCTCTGTGAGACCCTCCGTGGAGTTTCTGCAGGGGTCGTCACTTGGTCCAACACAGTTTTCATAGTGCAAACAAGTGTGTTCAGATGCTGGTGAAATTCACCCAGTGCTGTGGTGTCCATGTGTCAGTGATTACAAAAGGGCTGTGGTAATCTGGGAAGAGGTCTAGAATGTATAAAAAAAATGCAGTTAGTTGTCATCCATAAATATGTGATTTTGCCAGCAGTATCACAATGGGACTGACCTGTTTGGCAGTGGTATGGCAGGGGGTGGTCGTGGTACTGTTGGAATCAGGATGGCTAGAGGTCCATGTATCCGCTCTCCCACCACGGACATGCTTCGACCCACCCCGTGGCCTCTGATTAAGGGGTCTGCAGGAAGTGGTTTCTGTGGGGGACTGGGCTTGTCCTGGTCCTATATGTGGAAACACATAAGATTTCCTGGTTTGTCACACATCTTTAAACTATCAGCTAAATAATTAATAAAAAAGTATTTAAATTATTAATTATATATTTAAGAAAAACAACTAATTAAATTAAAATGCTAAAAATATATGTAAAACTTCCCCCCTCAAAAACTCGTTTTTATTGCAGAAAATACATTCAAACATATGTAGATTTTATGTATTTGAGTTGCATCTGAAATTTACATCTATTTGGATAACATAAACATAAAAAACTAATAAACATAATGTGATGCATATTTGTTTCTGTAATTGTACTAATAAATTGAATAATGTTTTAAATACACATTATAATT